AGATGCAGAGAAGGACGAGTGAAGAGCAAAGGGGTCCAGACCAGGCTGGTGAAACTCACAGAGACAGCTGACCTGAACATCGGGGAACTCTTGCTCCCCAGACTGAGAGCTGGAAAACCAGCATGGACTGATCCAGACCCCAGGAATATGGGTTTCAGTGAGGAAACCTTGGAAATCTACAGGACCATTTGTAGTAGTTCAGTATTTATCCCTAGCATAGGTGTGGACTTTGGGAGCCCATTCCACATAGAGAAACACTCCCTGAGCCAAGACACACGGGGGTGGGCCTAGGCCCTATCCCAAAGGATACGATAGACTCTGATGACACCCTATGGAAGGCCTCACCATCCAGGGGGAGCAGAAAGGATATGTGATAGGTAGGGTTTTAGTTGGGGGGAGGTGGTAGGGGAGGACAGGAGAGAGAAGGGAACTGGGATTGTCATGTAAAACAATCCTGTTTTTAATTCAAATAAAAAAAATCTGCAAAAGAAAAAAAAAGGAGCACTGGAGGACCTGGGTTTGATTCTCAGTATCTACATGGTGGTTCATAACCATCTGTAACTCCGGTTCCAGGGAATCCAATACCTTCTCTGGCCTCCTTGGGCACTAGGCATATAGTACACAGACATATTAATAGTCAGAATACTCATACAATAAACTTTTTAAAAGAATAAGAAATCATAAGGCACCATGCATAGCACATGACTCTAGGGCAATGGTCAGACAGCAGTGCTCTCAATTCAGGGTGACTGGACAGGACAGAGTCAAGCAGAATAATTCATATGGAAGGCACTAACAAACAGGACCTGTGTGTTTTCCTACATCCATATAAAGCAAACAAACATATAAAATATTACCAGTACAAATGCATGACCTTCTGGGTTTGTAAATTTATCTGTACAACAAGATCTCATTCATCCAAATGACATGATAATTATTTTATGTGTATGGGTATGTTCTGTCTGCTGGTATATCTGCTGTAGCAGAATGGTATGATACACATTTGTGTGTGTATGTATGCCAGCATTTTCTTGCCTGTGTGTACAGTTGAGAAGGCCAGAGACTGAAGTCAAGTGTCTTCTCTATCTCTTCCCACTGTACTTTTGAGACAGTCTGCCCCTGTACCTGGAGCTCACCAGTTTGGTTATACTGTGTGGCTGGATGTTACAAACGTGCTACCACACTCAGCTGCCACACTCCACAGGCACTGGAGGTTTGAACTCAGGCCCTCATGCCTGTAACCCACTTTACCCACTGAGACATCCCCCTAGCCCAAGTTACACTTTTGGAAAGACTTTTCTATGTAATTACTACCAGAAACATAACAGTCAATTGGAACCCTGCTGATTTACTCCACTGTCCGCTGAGATCATAAGTGAGAATGTTCATAGGAAAACTAGGTTATTATAGTAACTAATGTCTGAGATAAAACTCAAAACTAGGGGACTGTTAATGCAGAGATATACTATGGCTCTATTATATATTATGAGAAAAAGAGTTAATATTATGACAAAATCCCTAAACTCCAATCAAGTATTTGTAATTGCAAAATATAGCAAGTTAAGCTTATACATTTTTAGAAGATCATTAAGTGGCAGAGAAGTAATTTCCCATCCTCTCTGTCACTGTAAGAGAGCAGGTTTACTTCATTTGCTTACCAGCTGGGTAACAAGAACATACTCAGATGCAGGAAACGAGGCCAGGACACTATCTCCCCACAAGGCTTCTCCAGTCCCTCCAGGCGGCCTGTCTAGCTGCATAATCAAAGAAACTACTCTGAATAAGTGTAAGTAGATTTACCACTGGTGAGGGTTTATATCAATTGTCAACTTGACAGGATCACCTTGGAGACAGCGTCTGGGTGTCTGTGAGATTTCTACATTTACGGAAACGAACTCTCCCTAAATGGGAACAGCACCTTCTCCCAGGCTGAGGTCCTGGCCTGAATACAAACGGAGCGTTGCTTTCTATCTCCTGAGTGTGGACGAAGGTGACCACATGTTCCCTGCCCCGAGGGACTGCACCCTCGACCTGTGAGCAAAATACCACCCCCCCACACACACACACACTCTTGGTCAGGCCTTTTGTGACAGTAATCAGAAAGAAACTAATACAAACACCAGGTATAAGTCCTCTTCTGCACAACTGTTATTTTGACTTCAACTTTTTTCCCTCACTTCTACACTAGATTTTTTTTTCCCCCTTTGGTTTTTCGAGACAGGGTTTCTCTGTGGCTTTGGAGGCTGTCCTGGAACTAGCTCTTGTAGTCCAGGCTGGTCTCGAACTCACAGAGATCCGCCTGCCTCTGCCTCCTGAGTGCTGGGATTAAAGGCGTGCGCCACCACCGCCCGGCTCTACACTAGATTTTGACATTTACCTCCGTTACCTCCTCAATTTTAATTTCTTACATTCATATTTTATCAGTCAAAACAAAATAGGATTAAAATCTTGATACTGCACTTAAAAACATCTAATAATACCTATTATGTCCAAATCTGACTCCTCAAAACTCCTCAGACAGATGAGTTTTTCAGGATCAAGAACTGTCCACCACCTCCTCCCATAAGCCCTAGCTCTGCTTCCCAGGGTATTCTAGTCCGGTAAGCACCTTTCCCACTACCAGTCCTAGCTCCTATAAGCAATTTCTAGCTTACTTGTCAGTATATCTACTTGTTCTACTTTATTTTGTGAAAGAAAAAGTAGTGCAAAATTTCTAGGATTCAAATTTTAATTAAATATGTATTTTTTAGATTTATTCATTTTATGTGTGTTTCGCTTGCACGTGTGTTCGAGCACCACGTGTGCTGGGTGCCAGAGGAGGTCAGAGGAAGGCATCAGATCACTTAGAATTGGAGTTGTGAACAGTTGTGAACCACCACGTAAGCGCTAGAACCACCACATGGGGCCTGGGAATGGAACCCCAGGCCTTCTGCAAAAGCAACAAATGCTCTTAACCAATCAGCCCCAAAAGTTAAATTTTATATAACAAGTTTCAAATTTAAATCTCCCAAAATAGCAGAAAGGGAAATTGATGCCCAGATAGGTTATTTGACTGGCTTAATGATCACATGATGGAAAAGCTAAGGATATAAATTGTTCTTTTGGTTTGTTTTTGTTTCCAAATCTAGTGTTCTTGCCACCACCCCTTGTTACCCCAGACTATCTTAAGGAAATAATACCATT